TAACAATAATAGTTTTAATATTTTATCTATTAACTTAAATTGTTCATTTATCGTTAGTGATACTTAGTGATACGATACGTGATATATTTTTAACTTCATTGCAAAATGTTAAATCAGCATTTCGGAATGAGTAATTACCTTTTTTTTAAGTTAATTAAAAATCTAGTTTTAGCAAATATAATAAAATAAATGCAATTGCATGTCAAAGTCATTGCTCTATATACTTACATACATATCTTCTAAATAAATACCTTTGATCGCTTCGCATCATCATCAGCGTTATTTTAATTATCATGATTAGCATAAATAGCACATACTTAAATACATAAATTTTATTACAATTTTATCTAGAACCTTTTTACACGTTAACACGTGGAATACATACACATACTTTAACACGTAATCGATTTGTGAAGTTGAAACTTAGCATTTCTTTTTTTTAAATTAAAAAAAAAAAATTAACATATACCCACCGAACGCCTTTAACCGAAACATCCATCACTCCTAAAAATAAAATTTATTTGCTATTCGAATCCATTTAACTTTTAGTTTCTTTTCGTCATAAAGACGCGTCAATATCGTCAAGAAAAAATTAACATTAAAATAAAATAAATACGACCTATATATAAACAATCGGGATACGGAAATTCAGATTTATTAAAATAGTTTAATTACATACATACATTCACATTTTTGTTTACTCTGAAAATAAAGCTCACTGCCAATGGGTTGGTACTGGCTGCATAGGAATAATTTTCCACAAAAAAATATTTTTGAAGACTGTGAAAAAATAGTAGTTAGAGGGACATAATTCTGACGAATAGGCTGGTCTTTAGATAGAGTTGTAGATAGCAGATAATTAGTTGTCGGGACGTAAATCTGACGAATAGACTGGTCTTTATGTGAGACACACTTTTCATAAAACAATATATTGTGGTGTGAGATTATAGTAAGAGGGAAGTAAATCAATATATATATTGTGGTGTGAGATTATAGTAAGAGCGAAGTAAATCTGACGAGTATGCTGATCTTAACATGAAATACACTTTCCATTACACAATATATTGTGATTTAAGAAGAGATTATAGTAAGAGGAAAGTAAATCTAATGAATAGGCTCGTCTTTTTATAAGACACACTGTCCATGAAGAATATATTGTCGTGTGATAACAGATTAGTGTTAGAGAGAAGTCACGCTGAACAAATTTTGAGGTGTACGAAAAGTTAGTAGTTTGAAGGAAGTAAATTTGACGCATAAGATGGTTTTTAAATGAGATACATTTTCTTCCAAGAATGAATATTTTAAGGTGTGGACAAAGAGGGTTAGTCAAAGTCAGAACGAAGTATATCCGATACATTTTGAGGCGCGCAAAAAAAGTAGTCAGAGAAAAGTGAAATTGAACAATAGGCTGGTCTTTGTATGACCACAATTTCTATAAAAGAATATTTTGAGTAGTAAAAAAAAAATAGCAGATAGTCAGAGGTAGTAATTTTCTTGATTTATTTTATTTTCCATGAAAATGAGAAAAAATATTTTGAGGAGAACGAAAAAACTGTAGAGAGAAGTAAAATTGGCGAATAGAACGATTATTTGGGCTCGCTCAGTCGAAGTAGCTAGGTTTCTCCACCTTAACACTGGTTGACTTCAATTTATATCTCATCCATGTTTAATCCATTTGTACTTTTAAACAATCCCCTTTCTTTTCACACTACCCATATACATCTTTATATTTCTTTCATGTTAACTGCTTGATCATTAAAAGAGACATATTTTCATCTTTTGTTAAAAGCCAACGCGAAGCAAATCTTGCAAATATGCTGGTTGTTAGATGAGACATATTTTTTTGGTTTTTGTTTTTTATTTTAAGAATAATTTTGGTGGCCTCACAATTCCGATCATCAATGAATTTTTACTACTTTGTGAATGAAGTTGCACCTCTTTTTGTTTATTATTTTAAAGATGTTAGTAAACTTGTACCCATAAAGCACTTTCTTGATACCCAAAACTTGACATGATATATTTTTCGGCGCTATGCCTAAAAAAATGCCTAGAGCTTCTGCTTAATCTCTATCTGTAAATCAATTTCTGGTGTTCAGGGTGTTTTTGGACATCGTTTACGTGAATCATCTTCAAAATTTGTGCAACTTCTTTTTAAGAAACTGGCCCACTTACGAACATTATCCATTCGCCACTTCGGTGTAGTAAATTTTCATCGTTAAGTCTTTATTTTTGTTTTTTTAAATTTTAATCACTGCATGATAAACAATATTTTACACTGACACGTCATCTTCAAATGACATGTGAACAAAGAACAAATTAACAAATCGAAATGAAATATTATTTATATACTTGTGAAATTCTTTTCTTATTTAGAGATAAAATATTAATATAACTTCGAACTTTTAGTTCTATTATAGACAAGCATATCACATTTCACGAACTTATAGAACAACATAGTATATTTTAGGTAGTATTCCTTGGCGCTACATTCGAAATATCTATTACACTACATATGTATTAATAATGTTACTATGTTCTTCTTATCTCCTTTACTTATAGGGAATACAGTATATAATCCATGATAAGTGTGTTCGTTGCATATTGTTATTACGAATTTCGTTATAAAGTTCCTCAATTTTAAATTGTTTTTTTCTTTTTTAATTTAAATAGAACTATTGAAAATCGAATTTTAATAAAATAGTAAATTTAACATAAAATTTCACGAGGTCGCAATACGTCTATTAACCAAACATTCTAAAATACGTAGTCCATGATTAACACATAGCGGAATTCTTAAACTAATATTAATAAATATTACAGTTTTTATCACTAAAATATATTGAAAATAAACACTTAATTAAATGGCCATAAGAACCCGTTACTGGGTTTAAGCCTGACGCAGTATGTCTCTTCAGGCGTCTCTACTGCTTGCTCGCCTTTTTCAACGAGCTACAAGTACGTTTTGTGCATGCTTGCTTATCTCGATCAATCCACCGGTGATACAGCCTACCTCTACATCTTTTTCCTCTAACTATTGCTACAAATACCTTCCAAATAAATCTAAACAATCCTCAACAAAGAATATTAAATGAAGTCATATCTCTTGACCCAAGCAAACATTGATTGCTTAAGTTACCTCATGTTTGTGCAGTAAAATATAGAAAAGTCATAAATGCTAGCCAGCAGCATTAAGAAAAATTAATGCAAATATTAAAAATATTACCAAAAAAAAAAAAACACTAGCATTAAGAATAGAAGTAACAGCTAACAGCACCAAATATAAAGACAAAACTAAGCAAATTTATCGTTAGGTTTGAAAATTTCTATAAATTAACTGTGTATAAATTTAAATTATTTAAATAAATTTAATAAATTATAATAATAATTAAATTTAAATTATTTTTCTTTTTTTTATTTCTCTATAGGTGTTGCAGCATTTTGTGCTTTTTATTTGATATTTGGTTATGGCGCTCAACTTCTATGTAACATTATTGGTGTTGTATATCCTGCCTATATATCAATTCATGCTATTGAATCCTCACCAAAATTGGATGATACAAAGTGGCTAACATATTGGGTGTGCTATGGACTTTTATCGATTATTGAATATTTTTCAGTTGTATTGACCCACATCATACCATTCTATTGGCTGCTTAAGGTAATTTTGTTTCCTAAATTAGATTTTTACGAATCTCATACTAATTTTTTTTAAATAGTGCGTTTTCCTAATCTGGTGCATGCTTCCAATCGAGAAAAATGGTTCATTTCTTATTTATACACACGTTGTTCGTCCATTCTTCTTAAAACATCACAAGGGTAAGATTTATTACTTATTATTCGTCTTTTATCATTTGTAATGCTAATTGTTATAATTTATTTATTTTAGCTGCTGATAAGGCAATTGATGACTTTCTTAATAAAGCCAGGAATTCCGCAGAAGCTGTATTAAAGAAAGAATAAACGTTACAAACACGTCTTCAGTTTCCTATTTAATTCGGTGTTTTATACAAAAATTTAAGAAGCTTCTTCAACCATAATACTTTTGAAATCTCTCTACACTTTTATTTTATCACACCGCATAATTGATTTTAGACACATTGTTATATAAGGATTTGGGATCATATATATTTTTTTATATAAATAACAAAAATTTTATGTACTGAAATATATGAAAGTTTGTTTAATATGATCGTTAAATAAGTGAATTGTGTTAATTTTAGTAATCAATAAAACAAGATATGAATAATAACGGTTTAGAATAATTAGCTAAAGTTTATTATATTCTCACAGTTGGTTTAAAATGTATGCGAAGTAAATTTGGACTGTTGGAAACTGAATCTTATGATTCAGTATTTAATTAAAATTATCTTAATAGTAAATGCAAGAATAGATCTATTCTTTTTGAATAGAATCGCATAAACAAATATATGTTAAGTGTCCCGGGGCCTTTTCGTCGCCAGTGATGATCAAGTGCCATTCGCCTTCTTTCAAAAGGTCTTCACAAGCAAGCCCCAATGGATATACAACAAAAGCATTAAATAAGACCGCATAAACAAATGTACATATATTAAGAGTAATTTTTTTGATGAAGGTAGCTTTGTAAACTCCAATAGATAACCAACCAAAAAATATCAATTTATAGAATATGTATATTGAACTGGTCATTGAATATTTTTTATTAACATTTAGTAATCATTAAAACTATTTTCTTTTAATAGCTTGTGGTGGAAGCTTTTTATTTAAAATTTAAATAAAACTTAAAATAATTATTGCTGATTTGTCTCAAGTTTTATGTGTCTTGTTTAACTGAATCTTCTTTATCATTTGCATTTGTTTTGGCATCTTCTGCTTCCTTTGTTGCAATTTTCTGCCTACTACGCCAAGCTGTCATATAAGTACGTGGATGTATTGGCAAAAGTCCAGAAATTCCTAATAATTCAGCAACTGGCGTTGAAAGATGAGCGCCGTTACCTAACCAATGTCGTATACGTTCAAAATTAAACGCTACTAATCGCTCATTATATTGATTTGGACTCGGATCGTAAGTACCAACTTGCTCTATAATGGGTTGGTGTTGCTCTTTTCTTCGCTATAAAAACCAACAATGTAATATTGAGCAATGTTAAGACTTCAATAATATACATACCTCCATTACGACAATATGAAAAAACGGACGATTTGTACAGCCCATTCTTTGAAATCGTATAATTTTCGCAGATCGTTTGTAAAAACGACCAATGCCGCTAGCTGGTGACAGAGGTGAAATCGACATTGTTTTAAATTTTAATTAATACAATTTGTGGCAATAAAGTATCAAATAATTTGTTACTTAATTTAAAAAAAGCCTGCACACAAGGCAATTACTAGAAATGTCAAAAGTAGCATATGTTTACACAGAGATGTTATATTATATATGAGTTTCGATGAAATATTGTACATAAAAGTTATGTCGGCATATGGAGCGTATATAGTTAAAAAACAAATAATTATTTAATATTAAAAATGATACATACAACATATTTCAATAGGAGCAGCAAAAACAAAACAAACGAATTGTGTTAAAAATTAAATATATAATCGGCTACATCTCTGGTCTAGCACTATGATAATTCATACAATAAAAACACAACTAAAATTAATAATATAAAACAGCCTTTTATTATTCTTAATTACTAGAGAGGCCGTGTGCGAGTTAGAGTAAATTAAGGCATAGTAATTTGAAATTTCCTAGGGATTTTTTGCACTGCACTTATGTGAATATTTATTTATTTATTTATTGCACTTTTTTATTTTTTTCGGTTAAAAGCTTTCAAATTTATATATTTATTTATTAAAAATCTTCTAAAATTTTCATAATGATAACACCTAATTTTCATCTAATGTACCCTACTTGAAATTCTGGTAAATACCAACATTCGCTGCCATACCAACATAATTTACTATTTCCCCTCGATATACTTGAATTCGCACACGGCCTATATAGGTTTTAGCACATACACATTGTCTTATTTAAACTAGTTTGCTCATTATAGCCACTAATGAGGATGATTTACTATACAAAAAGATTTCAAATAAATGAGCTCATTATCATTAAGTCAGCTGAAGCGAAAAATGTCGAATGCAACTCTTAAAAATAAATTTCCCACAAAAAAATTACAAATATATGAAATATGCGACATATATTTTATATGTAAAATGTAAACAAACCACTGAGCTGAGCTGTAAACAAAAGCACCTAAGAAGTAAGTATTAATTAATTGATATATTAAATGTATATAAATGATCTATCATATATTAAATGTATTATTAGGCAAGATTTAAAAAATTCCGCTAAGTGCATATCAATTATAATGTGAACGTTCACTCATATATAAATGAGCAAGTGTTTAAATGAGACAGTGTGAATGTACTATAAGAAAATTAGTTGAATTTAAGTATAATAATTGTATGTTTAGACTATCGTTATCTTATTTTCGAATTTATCTTAACAAGTGTGTACGTTCTAATATCATTTTAAATATTTCCTGACAAGTTCTATTTATTATCGTTAAGAATCAGCTATATGAATATCATGTTTTTTGTTATTAAGTTATTATTATTAAATTGTATATAACTCGTATCTATATTTATTCAGTTTTTCAGTAAAACTAATCAAATGAAAACAGTCACATATATTATTGTAAAATACAATATGTACTAATTAAATATAAAATAAATAATAAAAAAAGCACGGCCAATATTTGTATTTATTAAGTTTCAATAATATAAATAAATATTAATTTATTATAATTTGATGTAAATTGGTACTATTACTAGTATTGAAAACTTTAATGAACAATAAATTGCAACTAGACCTAGTCATATAAACTCCACAAATATAATTTCAATATTTCAAATTAGCAAAAAATGAACATATACAGACTTAATAATAATGTGCGATCTCGTCTATGCTATAAAATCAATTGTATTTAATAAATTAAACATAGAAGTCAAGGAATTGACGAATAACTTGTAAATTTTCTATTTATTTTAAATAAATAGAAAACAATAGTTAACAACTTGAGTCAGAATTAAAAATCAAATTATAACGAATCATATTGAAAAGTAAATCTCAAATAAAAATTAAATTCCTTTTTCTTTTTTTTTGCTTGTCTCACTGTTCGCTAAATTCTGGATGTTAAAGTGTAAATACTTAATTTGTATTAGACAAAATTTGCAGTCAAGATAAGCATTATGTAAACGTACCACTAGATTTAAAAATGAAATATATAAATTTGGTAGTCTGGTAGTTGACAAAATTAGACAAAATTTGCAGTCAAGATAAGCATTATGTAAACGTACCACTAGATTTAAAAATGAAATTTAAAAATGTAGTAGTCTGGTAGTTGTAATTGTATTTCTACATGTTAAGAAGTTTTTAACAATCTAAGTAAGCTAGGAATTTTTTTCAAATATTGAAAATTTTTTACTTGGCATTAATTTTTATCTTTACCATATTGTTTCATAAGAGAGCATTCAAGAAACTTGTTCAAAGCATTTTGTGAAACATTGCATTCATTGATTGTGTTCATTATTGTATTCATTAATTTTTATCTTTCTTATATTGTTTTATAAGAGAGCATTCAAGAACCTTGTCCAAAGACCTTTGTGAAGCTTATATTTATATACGCGGAAAGCGGAATCTGACAGGTAAAATTAACTAAATATTAAATGTTTATACTGTATATGTGAGCTCAAGAAACTTGTTCAAAGCCCTTCGTGAAACTTATTGTGTTCATTATTGTATTCATTGCATTCATTAATTTTTATATTTCCTATAGTGTTCCATAAGAGAGCATTCAAGAAACTGGTTCAAAGACCTTTGTGAAGCTTATATTTATATACGTGGAAAACCGAATTTGACAGGTAATTTAATTAAATATTAAATGTTTATAATGTTTATGTGAGCTCAAGAAATTTGTTCAAATCCCTTTGTGAAACTTATTGTGTTCATTGTATTCATTAATTTAATTCTTTCCTATAGTGCTTCATAAGAGAGTATTCAAGAAACTGGTTCAAAGACCTTTGTGAAGCTTATATTTATATACGTGGAAAATCGAATCTGACAGGTAATTTTAATTAAATATTAAATGTTTATAATGTTTATGTGAGCTCAAGAAATTTGTTCAAATCCCTTTGTGAAACTTATTGTGTTCATTATTGTATTCATTGCATTCATTAATTTATATCTTTCCTATAGTGCTTCATAAGAGAGTATTCAAGAAACTGGTTCAAAGACCTTTGTGAAGCTTATTGTATTTATATACGTGGAAAATCGAATCTGACAGGTAATTTTAACTAAATATTAAATGTTTATATGAGCTACAAGTTTTTTTTATGTTATATATAATATATATATATATTCGACTTCTATATATTTTATTCTTTTTTGTGACCAAAAAACTTATATAATTTTTGACCGGGTAATTAACCCGGATCATTTAAGTAATGATCAATTCTCTGAAACTGACTATCGAAAATAGTCGAAGTATTGGACTAGTATTTCAATAAAATATAATTTATTTAAATATAATTAATATATTATAGTTTATATTTCAATGCCCAATTAGTCTGCACAAAAATTACTCAATAACTTCATATATATTTTGCAATATCAAAATGAGCGTTTTATTATAACAGAAATATACATGAAAAAATATCTGTTTTTAATAAATAAAATTCTTAATAGAAAAGGTAATGTCAAAAATGCCGATTAGACTCTATCGGTAACTTGTGTGTATAACATGTGGTTATGTCATATTGTGTTTTATGCATCGATTTGATTTTTTGTGGTCTGGTAGCATTCGCAAATATTAATATAGTCTCACCATTTGCAGGTATCGTTTTTGTTCGCTGAAAAATATTTATCATTTTATGTATAGTTAAACGACAATTTTTGTAATAGTTTAAATAAAAAGTCTCAAGTACATATTTCAAGAGTAAAACAACATATTGTGGTACATATAAAAATATTAATTTCTAATAAATTTATTCCATCAACGCAGTGCCGTTTTATGTGATTATGTGAATAAAGTTCAAAAAACGCAATTACAAAATAAGTGTAAAAGTGATAGCTAGATAAAATTTGTATAGAAATGGCGTCGGCCGCATGAACATTAATCATTATTACATGTATTTTTCCGAAAATGTATTATAAGAATTTTATAAAAAAAAGAAATTTTTTCTTATAATATGAAATGATTCTTAATAAGTTGTTTTGCAAAAAAAAAAGTGTTCATGTATAAAAATCATAGGTTCTCCATTTTGTCCGGTCTTTATTCCTTCTTTGGACTGTTTATCATAGTTTTGCTTAGTGCCGTTATATTTTCTACTTTATCACGCGTTTTCTGTTTATTAAAGTGATGCCACCTATATGCACTTGTGTTATATTATGAATAATGTGTTATACGAAGTAGAGTTTTGTACTAATATTATTGTTACTTAAAAATTATAAGCACATGTGAACTGTGTGTAAATAAAAAATAAAAGCAAATGATTTTTTAGTATATAAAATAGTATGGAATTAAATTTATTAAAACACGTGTAATTATGTAAAGCCTTAAGCATGCTCTATATATATATATAATTAAGCTGTATAATTGGCACCCATTGCTAAATTCTTTATGTTGAAAAAATTGCACTTCATTATATCAGTAAAATATATATTTTAAATGTTATAACAATTATTTGTTTTCGAACATATCAAAAGCGAGTTAGTGCGATAATACACATTTAAATTATAGGCTGGCTACACTGTCAGTGATATTTGAATTTCTAATTAGAAGTCTTTTATTGTATATGAGAAAATGAGATAACTATATATTTGCAACACGAAAGCCGAACATAATAAAAGAATAGGCTAAAAGCCGAAGCGATAAAATTTTATAAATCAATTTTTGTGTATGCAATTCAACATTTTTCGCTTCAAATAAGGTATAAATTGAATATAAATAAATTTAATTTCAATTGAAGTTTATGAAAATGTGTTGATACAAAGTTTTAAATGTTTAAATATGAAAAGAGTGTAGAGAAAAATCAAAAACTAACTTTTTAATTTTGCAAAGTAAATGCAAAAATTTAAAATGATGTCTGCGGTGGTCTACAAAATGTGATACTTGTTATTTAAAATAAAACTATATATTAAAATAATAGTAATAGTTTCTTAAAAGTGCAATTAGTGAAAATTTAATTTTTATGATGTATTTACTCATTTTATACAGTGACCCGATTTAATATACATATATATATATATATATTTGTGGGGCATTTAGGCTCTGCAAGAGGTTCTTTTATCGGTCGTATTTTCATGTGCTTAATCACTCCAATCTGTAATTTTTCTTCTTGGTGTACTTTGTGCAAACGTTCAATGAACTCAATTTATTTTTTTTGTTATGAACAAATTAATTATTATAACTAATAGCATCTGTAAATATCAAAAATTTTAATATAATGCATTTTATAGTTATCTTATTGCATACTCGTGTCCTATCGCCTAGCCTAAGTGCGCATTTGCAACAATGCATTTAAATAAACTATAATCCTAGATAGAATTTTGTTTTTTGGTTTGATTTCAAAAAAGCAAATTATTATTTTCTTTTAGAAATCAAAAATTCTTTAAAGTTTCTAAATATCGGAAGCTTGTAAGGATATATTTTATACTGGTATAATCTGGTGTCATTTTATAATTTTTATATTATTATATATATTTATTCCAGTTAATTTGTATATATAGTGTATATAGATATGAGCACACAAACTCGAACCAGCGGCGGAGGTCGCAATCAAAAGAAGTCAAATACCGTCACTGGTGGTGGCGGCGGCGGCGGAAGTGATCCCACTGGTCAAACAGTAACCAAAAAGACAGATGTTGTTAAAACAGAAAAAGAAAAGGGCCACATTAAGGTATGACTTAAAATTACATAGTTCACATGAGCATACTCAACATTTTTTCATTTTTATTTATAGCCAACTGCTGAACAATTAAGGATTGCCCAGATAACAAACAGCAATACAAATGAGGACCCGCAGATGCGTGAAAAAGTTGCTACGTTGATAGAGATGACGCAACGGTCCGAGGAAGAAGTATGCTGTGCTTTGTATGAATGCGATAACAATTTAGAAAAGGCAGTTGTGTTCTTGTTGGAAACCTTACCAGTGGTAAGCTATTAAATATTATATCTATGGTACGATTTCACTCCTAATATATATAATATGTTGTTTAGGGCGCATTTGAAACTTCATCAAAGAAGAAAAAAAATAAGGCTGCAAATGCTGCGCAGGAAGGTGAAGGTGAATGGAATGACTCAAATGCTAACACGGATAAACGTGAAAAATCGCGTAACCGTTCTAGTAATCGTGGTGGTCGCGGTGGTACTGACAGTCGTGGATGTATGTATTAATATTATAGCGCATTTATTGTGTTTTTATTATATCAATATATGTGTTTAAAATAGGGCGTGGTAGAGAGTCTCGTGAAAATGATCGCAATTTACGAGAATCTCGTGGTGACAGAGACCGGGGTGGTGATCGTGGTGACGACAATTATCGTCGTGGTGGTGGCCGAAGTGGCGGTGGCCGAGGTGGTAGCTATATGGGACGTGGTGGTAGAGGTGGTAGTCGCATGGGTGGACTTGGTAGAGGACCACGAAATGATCGTGGTAGTCATAGTTACGGATCTCGCCAAAATACCAATGAAGATCATCAAGAGGTTGAACTGTGGGATAATACCATAGCCCAAAATGCTGAAAAGCAACAACAGTCGCAAGATGATGCATGGGGGGATTGGGACAATGAGGAGTATATGGGTTCTTTGAAAGAAAGTCAAGTATTTACACCAAGTAATTTGTCAAATCAGACAACGGCGAATGTTGTTAGTGGCAATACTGGTGGTACTTCTGAACTATCAGCGCCACCTGGTCTAGAGCATCATTTAGGTACATCAGTGCTTGGTGGTGCTTCTTCACAGCAACAAGGATCTCATTTAAATGCTCTAGTAGGCAGCGCAGTAAACGCTGGTAGCAATCTTGTGGAAGATGCATCATCTGTGACTGGTGTTCAAAATTCGGTATCCTCTGTTACTTCACCATTGATGCAGTATAGTGCTGCTGTTAACAATACCGCACTACAACAGCAATCAGTGTCGGGAACTGCAAATAGTGCGCTGACGGGAGCATCTCTCAATGCTTCACAATATAATAGTGCAGTGGACAGTTTTACCAATGCTTCCGCTGCTGCAGCAAATTTAGTACAACAAGTTCAGCAACACCATCAGCAACCACAGATAAAACCTTCCGGTACCCTATCTGCGGAACAATCTCAGTATTTCAATTCACTTACGTCGCAGAGTGCAGCTGCAGCCAATGTACAACAACAGCAAATGGTGTCATACGCACAAAACAGCGGAGTACAATATCCAACATCATATGCAAACGTTTTTGGTAATTCTGCTACATCAAATGTAGGTGGAAGTGTGACTGTTGATCAAACGCAATTGTCAAATGCACAGCAGCCACAAGTTAGAAGGACGCGACCAAAATTACCACCACCGTCAAAGGTTTGTAATAGAACATTTATTTTATTTTAAAATTTATAACTTTATATATAAAAACAACATTTACACGATTATAATTTCCGAAACGTCGTAATTTAAATACGGGTTTTTGTAGAGATTCCAATACGATTAATATTTTTCCATACGCTATAAGAGAATACTACAACTATAAAATTTTTATAATTTGCTATAAATAATTATGAAATTTTTATTTATGCTATACTTTTTAAATGTGTTTTCTAACTATATAAAAATATTTAAATTTTTAAATAATTTTAGATACCATCGACTGCTGTTGAAATGCCAGGTGATACTCTAAATAATATTGGTTATCTCGATGTGCAATTTGGAGGTTTAGATTTTGGCAATGAAGATTCTTTCGATACTCTTTCGGAGAAGTTTAACAATTCTGTGACGATTGATGCACAACAACAGCAATTAGTGCAATCACAACAGGATGTTACGAATGATTACCAAGGGAAAACGAATGTGCAACCATCTACACTTACTACTGGACTGCAAAATTCCCAAATTGTAAGCATTTTTAATAAAAAGTGGTTATATTTGTAATATTAATTTTTTATATTAATATAGGGAGACTCTTTATCCACCAGTTACGTTCAACGAAGTTCTAATCAACAGCAACAAGTTTCCTCAAATGTCAATAATGTTGCATCTGTTAGTGGAAATAATAATGCATTGGATCAGTTAGCTAAAAATGACCCATACAATCAATCCAACTCAACAAATGCAACTGGATATCAAAGCAGTTATCAAACTAATCCCACTGGTAATAAATCGAATAATGCTTATCAACAAAATGCACCACAGGGCTATACTAACTCAAGTTATGTTAACGTTCAGGTTAGTAACATGTTATTTTAAGATAAACATTTTATAAAAATATTTTTTATTTACCTTTATTACCTTTTTTAATTAATTTACAGTCATCAGCAGCAAATACGTATCAACCGCAATACGGTTCCTATCAACAGAATTCAGTAAATACGTATCAGCAGTCACAACAGACCGGCGCTGCCCCAAGCACTACGAATGCAGTTGTTAGTAATAATGTCAGTGGTAGTGGTAGTTCATCACAAAACATTCCTGTTGGTGGCAATGGTACAAATAGCTCAACGTAAGCAAAAACCATATTGACTTTGTTTCTTGTTTTATTTATTAAAACCGCTAACGTTTAAAGTTTTGTTTATTTTATTAAAAATATTTTTATGCTAACTTTTTGTTAAAAAACACTTTAACTACTTAACACTTTACTGATACATTTAAACCTTTTTTTAAAAATCAATAAAAATTTAACTAATAGCGGAAACACTAATGCTGCATATTTATCGACGGGTTATCCATCACAGCAAAATTCATATCAGACCAGTCAGAATGTTTATGGTAATACTGGCCTGACAAGTAATACAGGGTATGTATTAGCAATTAAAAACTCATGTTAAGTTATTATTGCATGCACAACACTTCATTGTTAATTGTTTCATTTAAAGATGTTTAATATCTAATATGTTTGGTGTTTGAAATAGCTTCTTTTTGATGTTCTGTGTTATCAATTTTCAATATATATTAAATACATTTAGGATTCAATGTTTAAGTTATTTTAAGAATGAATTTATAAAAATTGGTTTTCTGTTTTCGATGTGTAATGAGTGTTCCATTTCTAAGCGATTTAATATCAGAAATCGCTTAGATTCTAGGTTCAAAAAAAATGCGCTTTGTGAATTCGCTCCTAGGAGCTTACGGCCGCTCCTTATCTTTTGCCAACTACAACATGCAATTTTTACATTTATTACATAAACCTCTGGTAGCAAGTAAATGTAAAAAATTGCCACTTGTTAGTGTTTCCCCTGTTAAAATTTCCAACTTTAATCAGGAAAATCGAAATAGTGCTTTAATATTTAGAGAGCCAAATTTTCGGGTATTCAAAAATAAAACTTTTCATAAAAACTTCCCATATCTCAAAAAAAACTGAAACTGATAAACTGAAAACTTTGAAAAATATATCAAATATTGAAAAACAAGCTCAAATTGAACAATCATTACTAAAAAAATATTTTTCTATCAAATAGTGGGTTTGTTTAAAGTTGCTTTTCAAGTTTTCTGCACAAGAAATGGTTCTTTATTTAATACGCCTTTAAATAATGATGTTTTCTTTACCTTATGGTGTCAAAAAGGTTTGAACAAACGACGACGATTTTTATTTACACTTTGTGTGGCTGCCACTTGAACCAAAACTGTACTACTTGATCCAAAACATTACTACTTGAATCAAAATTGAACTACTTGATCTAAAACATTATTACTTGATCCAAAACACTGCTACTTGATCCAAAAACAGTACCATTTCATCCAAAATCTTCTCACTTGATCTAAATTTCTTCATTACATTACGATAAGTTGATTAGACCGTAGATGAGCAAGAATAATGTTTAGAGCAGTGTAATAATGTTTGATGTAAAACACTTTAAAGCGTCCAAGATCTTCCCACTTTATTTTGAGTTAATTAAATAAGCCTAAAGAACTTTTTAAAAAAACATGAAACTTCATGTTTTTCGAGCTGAACATCTAGGATTTAGACCATATAATTAAATCGAATAGACTCACTTAATGATTTTATCCAATGATTTTATTCATAAAAGTTCGGTGGCAAATACTTATTCTATTAAATTCATTGACTTTATTTATAAAAGTTTGAGTGTAAAGAATGTCAAATATATGACAAACAAAATATAGGAAATCAATTTTTCTTATAATTATTAGGAACAGATATTGTTTATATCAGAGTTTTTCAATTTTTATTAGCACCGTCGGTCTGTAATAATTATGTTTTGGCATATATAGATCTGATGTTTTAAAACTGTTCTTGTAAAATATTTGAATATTTTCTCAGGTTCGTAATACGTTTTTGGATTGTTGTAGCCCGACGGGATTTACTTGTGTAACCTCTTTGAGGATCTTGAAAAGTATTGGTCGTCTTCGATAAGTAACTTCGGGACATAAAACCGGCCGTTCTTGGAATCGTTGGGAAAAATTTGTTGTTCTAAATCGCTGAGATCTGGACAGCAGATAATATGCAACTATTCGCAAGACGTATACATGGGTTAGGATGTTGATAGGTAATGGTTGATTGAGGGTAGGCAAGCGAGGGACTACAAAGTGGGGGTTGAGTGGGTCTAAAGGTCGATTGGACGGAGTTTTGTGTGTGCGATAAATATTTTTTGATATATATGGTTTTTATAGCCTACAGAGCTCTGCTTGTATAGTCCCTTTTGGGAGTGTTGAACAGCATTTGGTCATCGAACTCGACGAGTGGCTCTGGGACGTAGGCCCGGCTGCACTTGAAACCAATAAGTATAGTTGCTGGCATCGCTTTCACTGCAGCATTTTAGTTGCGTTGCTGTTGTAAAAATTCAATCCAATGTTACTATGAGAAAATTAAAGAAATTTTTGTGGTACATTTTTTGGCTAGAGAAGTCTATTGGTAAAAAATAAATAATAAATGGAATTATTGTACTATTTAAAATTTTTTTATTATTTCTGCAATTCTTTAACTTCGAACTTAGGAACTGTCTTAATACATATGTATTTATAAATCAGTAGAAATATTATCGTATTTGTGTTCTCTATTGATGTTGTAAAGTATTGTTCATAGATTTATAGAACTAATTATTAACATTCTCATATTTTGCTATAAAAGTGTAGTTTACATCAAATTTAGATATTAAAATGTGTGTTTGTAATTGTGTAAACCACTGTCTTAAAAAATTTCTTTACACCTTTTTTTTCGTTTAATTCTAACAACCAAACCAAATAAATAATTGAATCACCCATGTCCCTTGTGTCACACTTAGGTTTGCTGGTAGCACAAGCACATCATCGTCTCAATACAGTAACTTTAGTACTAGTGCTAAGTTAAAGGACACTACATCTGCATCTAACACCACGCATTTTGACAGGTAAGACTACACGTCATGATACTATGTAACTATTGAAAAAGGATTGATTGAGCTAAGTATATATATCTTAAAATGCATGCTATCACAATATAAAAATTGTTGATTAACCATATTAAAATACAGTTAAATTAATTAAATTAATAAAAGAAAATAATGATTTATAAATAATATGTTTTTTTTGTTCTTTTGCAGTGCTTCGTCAAACAGTGCTAGCAATAGCAATACTTCAGTGAGTTCGGTATCCAGCGCGGTTAATGCAGCAGCCACTGCTGCAAATAGCATCAGTTCAACATCGCTTGGAGGATTATCGAACTCGAAAGTATCAAATTCTGCCTCTTCTAATAGTGTCAATGCGAATAGTGCAAATTCTGTTGGTAATAATAATACCAGTGCAACTAACAGTGCGAACAGCGTTAGTAGTGTTAATAATAACAATGTATCCTCAGTCGTAGCAGCCACTGCATCCGCTTCTACTGTTTCGTCAGGCAATAAGAACAGCGCAGCTAATAATGCTGGTATGGTGTCTAATATTCAAATGGTTAGTCAATATATTCAGACTGGATTGCCATATTATCAGCAACCAGTATATTCATACGAGGATATACAAATGATGCAACAGAGAGTGCCACATGTGGTGAGTTGATGGCGATGTACAACACAATACCAAAAAAAAATTACATACAATAACAACATATGCCATGCAATTCACTTAATCCCACTCAAAATTCAAACGCATTCTGCATGATTTTGCAAACATATAAACTCCAAATCCTATCACAATTTTTATACACACCAATTTCACTTAAAACTTACACAACAAATTTAAAACAAACAGAACATTGGTTATGGACTATGTTTATATTAGATAACAAAAAATGCTACAAAATTTTTAACTTAAAAGCGAAAATTGCATTTACTGTGAAGAGCTTGTCAATATACCTAATATGAATTGATTTCTTATAATAACATAAATTGTGTATTATGGTTTTCAATATCTAATTCATTTCTATTATAAGCAAAGTCATCATTAACATGATACACAATCATGTTGTTTTCTATATAAAAAAAATGAATTTAAAAAGTAATTTCTTAATCCAAACAATGATACAAATCTTATGCGAGCAAATGATACAAATCTCTATTTTTAACAGAGAGATTTCGAAAAGTAGTGAACTACAACAACAAATATTTTTTTTTATTTTATTTTCGATTATTACCAAATACTCATCATCAGTGGTCTTGGAATTATTTCTCTTGTATTTAATTACATATTCGTGAATAGTTTTTTTGAGACTGCAAGTACAAGTTTATTTTTAACTTTATTTAAAATGAAGTATGTCAAAGATAACACTATCTAAAAAATAAGTGCTACTTTAGTTACACACTAGGTAAATAAAAATAATATATAATTTGTTATGTTACATCAACACTTTAGAAAACTACAAGCTTTCAAATAATATTTTATAGTCTGTCTATTCAAATAATTTTAATTTTAATTATTTGACTTCATTATAATTTTCAATTAAAATTATAATTAAATTCCATAGATTTGACTATTAAAATACGATCCATAAGCGGCAGCTTTTGACGCTTGAAAATGAGTTTTAATTGCTTTTGTTTTTTTTTTAATTGTGTTTACACTATACTGAAACTTAAAGTTTAATAGTTTTTCAATGTTATTTTTTTTTTCTTGCCGAAAGTTACTCATCTTATAACAAAAAGAAAGAAATTAAAAGTTAGAAGGATTCGAATATAAATAAAAAGACAACAACAAACATTTTAGTTAATTTATTGAAGTTTGGTTAACCACACAATCCTGTTTAGAGTATTGCCAAGTACTTATCATCAGTAGTGTTAGCAATTATTCGAGTTTTTTTAAATTATTTTATAGTCCCTATGTAATTTGTTTGGACTGCAAGTAACAGGCTTATATTACTCGGGCTTGTATAAATATTTTTTGTTTTGTATAATAAAAATTAATTTAACCGAGGAGACCTTTGTTATTTAACAACTCAGATTTTTAATAAGTAATATTTATAAAGATATTCAAATTTTTGTTTATATTTTAAAAAGTGAAAATACTTTATAGTAAATACTTCATATTTTAATGTAAATACTTCATAGGACATATAGAGTGTTTCGTATAATCCTGTAAAACGTTTGTTTGCATATAAATGTAAAGTGTGGTATAACATTTAACACTATGATTAATTTAATTCTATTATTCTAAAATTGGTTTATAATATTGATATAATATATTATTATTATTAAAAAGTAGACGTGAAAATTGCCCAACAGCCGGTACTGCGGCCAGAAGAGACCTATTGTACCAGTTTCACTATTGATTAAACAAAGCCCCTTAAAGCTTTGTGAATACAGTCTAGAACTAAATCTAGAGAAGAGTTCTTAATCTGTTCTGGTGACAGAAATTCTTTATGAAACAGGTTTCTTCTCTGCGTTATTAAAGCTGGACAGTCACAAAGAATGATATAATATAACACAGCTAGTGAATTTGTTAGAAGAATAACAAATTGTTTGCAAAAGTCCAGTTGGTCAGTTGGTTAATTAACACTGATTCTGATTTAAATTTGATAGGATACAAGTTCTATCTTTGGTACCTGCAGTCTAAAATAAAAAATTATTTACATATAACTTTGTATAAAAAATATTTTAAAAAAATATCACTAACACTGGATATTTAGCAATACTAAAAAAACAGCTGTATTCTGCAAAAAATGTAATTAGTTAAAAATATGAATTTTTTGTTGTTGTAAATCACTACTGTTCAAAAAACATTTCTATTAAAATATAGTTTCCATTGAGAAAATTTTTAAATCAGTAATTATCTCTTTTTCGCGCGAAAGTGAATGGATAAAATGTAACCCTTCTGTTTCTGTCTTCTATTAAAAATCAGTTTCAGGCGTAAAGATGTCGTTAATATTAATAGGCCTATTTATTTTTATTGTCATTATCAAAATCTAGTTAAATTTAGATGTGTAATTCACAATGGTATAATTCTAGAGCAATATTGCTTATAAACTAAAGTAAAGCAAACAAAACATTGCTGCGATGTGTTCGGCATTTTCATTTACGAATCTAACTACTAGAAACAAGATTAAGATAAAATTATGATTAGCTGTGTGAACATGTTTTTAGTAAAACGAGCCGAACGAGCAAAATTTCAATTAGTTGTGCTGTGTAAAACGACTATTAAATAGTTTCCTGTAACCAAAAATTTTGATAAATGTTTTAATATTAACCGTGTTTTATTTTTTATTTTATTTTCTATAATATTGTGTCAAGACAATATGAGAATTCAGCTAATTTTTTAAATGCACTGCTGTGCATATAGAAACTGAATTATTTTTTTTAAGTCTTTCATTTGGCTATATACAAAAATTTAGTGTATATGTATATACGGTAAAAATAAAACGTGCCTATTAAAGTTATTTATACAAGGGTTCTCTATAAATTCGACGACTTTATTATTATAACAAATTTTCTTGTCGTTTTTCTGTTATCATAATTTCTCACATTAAAATTTTATTCTCTCACATTAAGTAATATATAGATTTGAATTGAGTTTAGGGTTTTTTAAATTAAGAGCTACAAAAAAAAGCAACAATGTAAATGCAAAAACTATGTACCAAAAATAAAAAAAAACATAGTGCCAACAGCAGCAATGTTTTGATTTATTAATACTACTAATAATAGTACTGTTGTTATTGTAACCCAAAGACCTGCTGTTTTATTCCTGTTAGTAATGTTTGTTATAGTAAACCTAGACTAGTAATAGTCCAGGTAAACAAACGTGGCTTTGAGATGCAAATCCAATCACTACATCGAGAGCACATATTGTCGCTCATACTCTCTCATATCTTTCTAAGCTCCCATACGATATTTTTGTATTTATTGGACCATGAAATTACTTTCTAAATTTATTGTCTTTATATAGAAAATAACTAATATACATTACATATATGGTAAAGAAATAGTTTGCTACTTTTGATTTAAATTGTTTAAATAAATTTTAATTTGCTTTTTTAAATTTTAAAATTCTCAACGGTTTAAAATTTTTAATTATTTTGCTAATTGAAAATGAAAATAATTAATTATAATTATTTGGATGTTTAATATGTTGTGGTGTGTTAAAAGTTAAGTTTTGTGCTTGTAATGAAATATTTATAAAGAACTGTTGTATCATTTTGTTGTTATTTGGCTTTAAAAAACTACAAAAGAAATTTGAATAAAATGATGCAAACTATTTTGCTCTACAATTTTTACATTTTTCTTTAACCAAATCACTCACATTATCCACCTCATGTAATAATCATTACCTGTTACATTCGTAGAATCCCATCAATTGGCATCCATAAATTGGCATTTTTTAACTTTTTGTTGTTTTGTTTTTGTTTTTAATAAAAATATAATAATGGTGACTAGTATATACTTTATAAAATATTAATATATTTTGCTTTTTATATATAATATGCTTTTTATTTATATTGTATATTTAATATTAATTTCAAAGAAAATTTATAACATTAATTTTATTAAAACAGTGTATATATGTTTTGCTGTATAAGTATATATGTAAATATGTGTACTACTAATATTGATAACGAAGTTATTTCATTTTAAATTAAATTTTTAAAAATAGATGTACATACTTGTGATCAGTCCCTGTTAAGTTGTTCGTTAACACTATACTTTATCATATTATAGTATAATAGATGAGATTTTTCACTACATAATACCTGTAAACAGCTGGTTCATCTCTACAGTTATGGTAAGGTATCCCTCTTGAGCAGAACAGAGTTGAGACTGCTGGTGGGATATTTAACAGGTCCGAAGAGATGGAGTGTCGACTCTGCTTAGAAGCAGACGAGACTTTCAGTCACATTCTCTGTGACTGCCCAGCCTTGATCTGGGCCAGGAGGAGGTTACTGAGAGGAGAGCTGCTCTCCCCTTTTGACATTAGGAGGTCCTCAACGGACGACATTCTGACCTTCATTTGGAAAGCGGAATATCTTC